CCACCATGCATATCACCAAGGAGCCACCCTTCATCCAGGATATAGTGGACGAGATACCCCCTGTCAGATGGCGAGCCCCCCAATTCGACAAGTACGACGGGAAATCTGATCCTTTTGACCATGTCGTGGCGCTCAAAGCCCAGATCATGGTGCGTCAGAGAGACTGATGTGCAAAGCCCTTGTAACAACGCTGCAAGGTCTGGCCTTGGGATGATATTCCTCCCTGCCGCCGAGGTTTATAGCATCATGGGCCCAACTGGAGACCTAGTTCCTGGCACAGTTCACAGCTAGTCAAAAGTATTGGAAAACTTTGGCCAGCCTTATGTAGGTTCGAAAAAGAAAGGTGGAGTCCCTTAGAGATTACCTGGCGAGGTTCAACAAAGAAGCATTCCAAGTTAAGGACTTAAATCAATCAGTTGCGGTGACGGCCATACAACACAAACTCCGCCCTTCCCCATTCAACTTATCCATCTCTAAGAATCCTCCTCAGACGTTGGCCACACTAATGAGCCACACACAGAATTATATCAATGTTGAAGAGGCCCAGGCGCAGCTCAGGGACGAGGATGAGAAGCTCGACGAACGGAAGTCTGAGAGGTCGGACAAAGACCACAAGTGACAAGATCACCGGACCGACCATAGACCTCGCACCCCTCTGCCGACCTATCGGAATTTCACGCCGCTTAATACTCTGTGGTCTGAAGTTCTGATGCAAATCCGTGACCACAACTATGTCAGGTGGCCCGAGAAGATGAATATGCAAAGTAACAAGAGGAACCGAGACAAATATTGCGAGTTCCACAAGGACCACGACCACGATACGAAGAACTATTTTGACCTGCGCAACCATATCGAAGATCTAATTAGGCGCGGTTATCTCAGCGGCTTCGTAGACAGAAAGGAGAAGTCAGCCCAAGAGGAAAGAAGAGCGGATGAAGCTCAACAACCTCTGCCCCGAGGCCCCCCCAGCCAGCATCATCTACGTGATATCGGAAGGAACCACCTTCGAAGGGGAAAGCAGCTCGGAATGGAAAAGATATGCTCTACTCTGTGAGATCGACGACTGAGGTCACGGGAGGAGGCGCGACACATCTATCACCTTCACTAACAATGACCTCTAAGGGGTCCAAACACCGCACGACGATGCCTTGGTCGTCACAGCCGAAGTGGCCAACTTTGAGCTACGGCGGATCATAATCGACACAGGGAGTTCTACCGACGTAGTGCTTGAAGATGCGTTCAAAAAGCTTGGCATTGACAGAGAACGGCTTACACCAGTTAGCACTCCCTTGATGGGATTTTCGGGAGTGTCCCTCATGCCCACTGGGAGGATAACTCTTCCCCTCTTGATCGGAGACGGTGACGTGATTGCAACGGTCATGGTAGACTTCATCGTGGTGCGTTGCCCCTCCTCTTACAACGTGATCCTCGGCAGGTCGACCCTCAATGCCCTATAGGTCGTAGTGTCAACGTACCACCTCACCTTGAAATTTCCAACCAAGTATGGCATAGGGGTGGCATGTAGAGACCAGAAAACAGCATGACATTGCTATCAGTTATCCTACCGAGGACCACGTCCAATGACCGAGACATTGATGGCGGAAGCATATGACCTCATATGACCTCGTCCAAGTCCCCCTATTTGAGGAAGATCCCGAAAAGACGGTTCAAGTTGGCTCTCTGCTAGGCGACCAACTCCGAGAGGAGCTTGTTCGACTACTGAGGTATAATGCCGATGTCTTTGCTTGGTCGACAGAGGACATGTCTAGAATCGATCCCGAAGTTATCACACATCGGCTGAACGTCGACTCTCGTTACCGACCTGTGAAGTAGAAGAAGAGAAACTTCGCCACAGAGCGGTGGCAAGTGATCGCTGATGAAGTACAGAAGTTGCTCGACGCCGGCTTCATTAGGGAAGTCAAATACCCCGATTGGCTGGCCAACGTAGTGATGGTGAAGAAGGCCAATGGAAAGTGGAGAATCTGCATCGACTTTACCGACCTAAATAAGTCCTGTCCCAAACACAGCTTTCCCCTGCCAAGGATCGATCAGCTCATCGACGCAATAGCAGGACATGAGCTCCTAAGCTTCATGGACGCCTTCTCAGGCTACAACCAGATCCGGATGGACTTGGACGATCTAGAGCGAATGGCCTTTATCACTGACTGCAGCCTGTACTGCTACAAGGTATTGCCCTTTGGCTTAAAAAACGCCGGCGCCACTTATCAACGGCTGGTGAACGAGGTATTCAAAGAATAACTCGGTAGGAACGCGGAGGCATATGTCGGCGATATGCTCATGAAGAGCAAAAAGGCCGAACACCACCTGGCCGACCTCCGCGAAGTTTTCGACATACTTAGAAAGTACAAGATGAGGTTAAACCCAACCAAGTGCGCCTTTGGGGTTGGCTCCGACAAGTTTCTGGGGTTTATGGTAACATAGAGAGGAATCAAAGCAAATTCGGAGAAGATAAAAGCCATTCTTGACATGCCATCTTCCCAGACCCACAAAGAAGTGCAATGACTCACCGGGAGAATAGCCGCCCTTGGCAGGTTTATGCCCAAATCCACCCCTCATTATTAAGCCGAGCTCAGGAGATGAGCTATTGCTCTACCTCTTGGCCGGGGATGAGGCCGTCAGCTCAGTATTGGTCAAAAGATTTAGCAATTCTGAAACCATCATGCATCTCTCATGAGTGGTGGACACTGATTCTTTTAAATGTGGTACATGACCTAGCAAAGTGGGTATCCAAGGATCTATAGCTGTTGTGATGGTGCAACCATGTTTAACTAACCACAAGAGATTAGTTTGCAGCTGCATTACCAATTGATGAGCTTGCTACCACCATTGAGAGCTACGGTGACCTATTTCAGCAGTAAATAGTGATGTATGGGGAAAATATTTGGCTCAGATTTGCTTGCTCCAGATACCAGAAGTGTGAATCAATAACCTCCAAATCTGTTTACCGAACATGTCAAGTTTGGAGTTCGTGGTTTGGGGGAGAGTTGATGTGGTCATGGAGTAGACTGGAATGGATTGCAGTACTGATTTGACTAAATTAGTTCTTCCTGCTTTTGATAAGAGTTTTGAGCTCCAAGACTTTATTCTTGCAAGGATCCTCTCAATTATCTCTTTGTGTGAGGAGTGGTAGTGGGTATTCACACCAACTTGTGTGCCTAGGTATTTAGTGCCAATTAGATATTTGCTGACATGTAGGATATGAGAGAAAAATCTGCGGTGTTGACGTGGGATGTTTCGACCAAAAAAGATGTTGGACTTGGCATAATTTGTCTTTTGGCCTGACATGGATTCAAAAGAATTTAGTAAACTGACAAGAGATTTTACTTGTTCAACTTCAATTTTGCAGAAAAGATGCAGTCATCAGCAAAGAAGAAATGTGTAATAGGTGGACCGTTGTGGCTAATCTGTACCCCTTCAAGTTGACCCAATGATGAAGCTTTGTTTAGAAGTTGAGTGAGAACCTCCATACCTATAATAGATAGAGAGAGATGGGATCACCTTGCCTTACCCCACGCTTCAGAGTGAAGTGGTCATGGGACTCACCAACTATTTTAATGGAAAAAGATGCAGTGGACATGCTCTTATGCAACATATTACACCATTTATCTGGGGAATTCATCTTTTTATGCACATGGTATAGAAAAGACCATCCCATTCTATCAAATGCATTGGACATGTCCAATTTAAGGGCAATGTATCGTTTACCTCTTTGCTGAAGCTTCATCTTATGTAGAATCTCCTTTACCAAGAATATGTTATCAGAGATTTGCCTCACCTTGAAAAAGCTCGATTTATGGGAGATATCAACTCCTGCAGAAGAGGTTGTAGTCGAGGTACCATCCACTTAGATATAATTTTGTAAAGCACATTACACAAGCTAATGGGCCGAAAACTTGATGCATCCACTCGTTTATTGTTTTTAGGAACAAAGACCATATTAGTATTATTGATTTCTTTCAACAGGAATTCTGAATTAAAGAATTTCAGCACTATGGAGTAGATATCTTGGCCAATCAGATCCCAGAAATGCTAAAAGAAGAATGGGGTAAATCCATTCGGGCCAGGGGCTTTATGAGGACTGAAATGTTTGACCACCTTAGTCAATTCTTCAAAAGGAGGAGGAATAAGTAGAATAAGTAGAGTCCTTGTGTTGTGTAGAAAGAGTGGGGAGAGTTATGTTATTTAGGAGACTTGGATCAAAATCTTCTTGTTGCCCGCCCACCTCCAAAGGAGCTTGTTTAAATATTTGTACTATGGATGTACGACTTGATGTTCAAGAGCCATTAGAACATTTTAACCAATATATGTTATTAGAATTTTTGAAATTTGTTATGTGGTGCAAGAATTTTGTATTTCTATCATCTTCTTTGAGCCATAGTTCCCTGACTTAACTCTCCATAGCTGTTCTTCCTTTAATAGCCGTGATTGGTGAGTGACTGAAGCTCATTTTGTTCTTCACCATTTAAAGCTATCATTTGCGGTGCTGAGATTCGATCAGCTATTTTCTAGATATGGCTTTGTACTTGGCCAAATTGACTTTTATTCCAGTTTTTTAGAGTAAATTTGCAAGACTTCAACTTAATGATGACTTGATGTGCAGGGGAGCTGTGTATGAATTGGTTTCAGGACTCATAGACAATTTACTTACAATCAGGGTAGAAAATGAAAGTGTGGTTTACTCTGCGGTGGCTGGTGAGGTGTTGAAATTCTTTTAGTTAAAAAAGTTTTTTAACACACTATTAAAACTTTTTTTAATACCATTTAGACTCAATTTGAAAAGAGTACAAATGCAAATATATATAATGCAAATACATATAAAATAATACAAAATATAAGATTGTACTCCGTCTAAACTGAGCCTTAAATTTTAACACACTATTAAAATTTTAAATCCTTCCCATAAACAGGCAAAATAGGTCCCACCGCTCACAAACCTGAGGACCTTGATCGGTTTCTCTCTCTTTCTCATTGTATAAATTGTATTGCGTACCCTAAACTCCTATATCACTATCACTCTGCCATTCACTTCCAGTTAGAGCTACTCTCCCATCAGCTATTATTACTTTCAATCATGATGATAACAGAAGCGATCTCAGATTTTCCGGTCATGGCTTATGCCACTGTCGTCGGACTGGGTCTCGTCGCCGTCATGTTTGTTGTAAGGCTTCTCTCTACCCAACGTAGATCCTCCCAATATCCGCCTCTACCAGGTACTATTTCAGCTACCTTTTTGATATTCAATTTAATTAAGTCCTTCAGATTAATCCCTCCGGCTTCTACAGTGGTACAGATCCCTCCATCCTTGTCTCGTATGATTTATTGTTCTTTGTTTTGAAAGGAATTTACTACTGGTTTTGCAGAGGTTCCTGGGCTGCCACTGATAGGGAATCTGCTGCAACTAAAGGAAAAGAAACCCCACCAAACGTTCACGAAATGGGCTGAGCATTACGGGCCAATCTACAAGATTAGGGCCGGTTCTTCCACCGTCGTGGTTCTCAACACAACCAGCGTTGCCAAAGAGGTATCTTATCTTATCTTTGATTTTTTGTGCCTTTTTTAGGATAAAATACAAAAAACCTCACCGGAAGTACCTGATAATCATAAAAACATCTCTTGTTTTAACAAAAACGTCCTCTGAGCTTTTGAGAAATTCAACAAAAACCTTCCTTTCGTTACTGTCCACTACGAAAAGCGTTAGTTACATACAAAATTACTGAAATAATTCCATTTTAATTCAAAATAAAACATTTAAGTGGTTTTTATTGAATTAAAATGGAATTATTTCAGTAATTTTGTATGTAAAATAATTTATAAAAGGGTAGAATGTATATTTAGAAAAAATTAGTGCATCAATCTAATGTTTTCTGTCTAAACTGACAGAAGTAGGTTTTTATTGAGTTTCTCAAAACTTTAAGAGAAGTATTTGTTAAAATAGAATTATAGAAGTGGTTTTTTATGATCGTCAGAAGCTTCAGGGAAGGGGTTTCTATTTTATCCTTCTTTTACGATGGTGAGGAGGAAGAGGATCTCTAGGGGCATTTAGGTCTTTTTCCATTTTTTTTCGTGATTTTTTACCCTCAAACAAGCCCAAATTTTCTTATCGGAAATCAATGTCAGTGTCTAGCTGCAAAGCCTGCAAGGTTTTAAATTTTAATAGAAACTCTGTCCGTTTTGATCCACGCGCTTTCTAAAAATTTTCAAAACTTGGGGCAACATTTTGTTGCCAGGTGTCCTCTACTATCAGCAGCAGGAGACCTCACCCGTCTATCGTCAGGTAGCGGCATATCTCCTCAAACATTCTTCCAATTTCCAAAGGCTTGTTTTTTTATTGAAATTATAATGTTTTATAAACTTATATTATATATAGATTTTGTACATAATAGAAATGCAGTTTGAAAGGAATACAAATATAAATATGTACAGTATAAATATATATAAAATACAAGGTTTCTATTAAAAAAGTTTGAAATTTTCATGAAATTTCGTCAACTTTAAAACCATGCATAGCAATAAAAAATGATATAGGACAGAAATCTTTCCTTCACTGTAAAAAGGGTTAAAGACAAAAAAAAAAAAAAAAGCACCAACGTCCCCGATGGCCCTTACATGGCAAAAAGGTCGTGGTTAATCGGAACTGTCGACAGGAAAAAAAAATCAGGTAATAGTTATAGGCATATAGCTCAGAATGGGCCCAAACTTTGTAGATGGACTATTCAGATAATGTGCAAACGTCAGAATAGGTCCAAAATTAGGTAGCCCATTGTCGTATTGCTGTATGATCATTGCAGTTTTGCCACCACGTAGCCTTTGTCGTACTGGTGTGCCTCTATCCTGTATTTGATGAAATGATAATTCACGACGAAAACTGCACTTTTGCAGTTTCGCTGTTTTCAACAGCCTGGCTCTCAACGGTCAAAGTTTTTTTTGCTGAAAAAATAAAAAAAAATTAATTTTCCCCCGAAATAATGATGATGATTACAAAATGTAATAAAAACCAAAATTTTCTTTAATAACCTTTTTTACGTCGGCAATAATTTGCATCTATCTATTTATCTAAATCTCTCTCTATATGTATTAAAACTAGTCCTTTCATGTCATGTTTAGTCAAGTGGCACTATTTTTTTCCATTTTTTTCTAAATTGTCTCTAATTCTTATTTATCTTCCATATTATCTTTAATTCCTATTTATCCCTTAAATTATTTTTAATTTAATGAGAAATTCTCTTCTAAATTATCTCTAATTCCTATTTATCCTCTCCTTCACTTTTTATATATATATATATATCTATCTAAAGAAAGTTTATATGTATCTATCTAAAGAAAATTTCAATTAAAAAAATCAGAACTATTTAAATGTTATAACAAAATTATATACTAAATTTAAAATATTTATTCAAAACACAAAAAATTAATATATTTAATAATATTCATAATATTAATAATTCAATATTTTTACAAAATTTATCATGAAATTATATAGTAACAATATAAAATATAATTTTATGAATTATTAAATAATAAAAATTTAACATTAAAAAATAAAACATTATTGAAATATTTCAATAACTAAAAATATTAAATAAAAACATTAAAAATAGCTAAATAATATAACAAAATATTTAATATTACATAATAACATTAAAATAAATAAAATTCAAATAATGAAAATTTTTAAATATTTTACATACTATTTAAATATTTAACATGACAAAATTTTAAATAGTTAAAATAACGAAATTATGTAATAAATTTAAAAAATTATTAAAAGTAGAAAAATAATTATAATAGAATTCATAATATTCATATTAATAACAATTTAATATTTTACAAAATTAATAACGAATTATGTAATAATAGTACAATTATAATTTTATGAATTATTAAATTCATAAAATAATTAATATTTTAGGAATTTAAATAACAATATTATTATAATAACTAAATAATATTGTAAATAACTAACTTCACTTATATCAATTAATAATTATAGAAAATAACTATCAAAAACTTATATTTATTAGTAATAAATTTTACAATAATAGTGTATCTTCATTATTTATTTATATATACTATAATTAATATTTATTTTATTTTCAGTAATTATTTATTTTTTTTATAAATATGCTTTCAATAATCATTTATAAATCTATTTCTATTTTTTATTTAATAAAAAATTATCAATAACTATTGGAGATTAAACAACTATTATTTAACTTTTGAAATTTAATTTATCGTATTTATTGTATTTTTGTTATAAATTTGTTTTTAGTAATTATATATTTTTTATAATTTATAGATTAATACTTATTAGAGATTAAACTATTATTTGATATTACACTATTTGTTGACTAATTTAGTATAGTTTTAGTATTTATTATATATTTGTAATTATTGTATTTTATTATATATCTATTATATTTTCAGTATAAACTTATTTTCAATGATTATGTACATTCGTTATAAATTTTCAATAATTATTGGAGACTAAACTATTGTTGTTTATTAGAGATTAGACTATAAAATTATTTGAAATTATGAGTGTTCAATGATTGGTTCAGTTTAGTTGCATGCTGTTTCGCCAAATAAATCAATCTGCTCAAGTTCGTAGTTTGACACTTGAAACTGATTGATCATTACTGAAAACCCACCAACTCGGGTTGTATCAATTTGGGTATATTTTCAATTTAGTTTGTTTGTTCAAAAGATTTAAACTTAAAAATTAACTTTAAATTTCATAAATTACAATGATATTATTAAAAAATAAATTACAAAAATTAAATTTATGATATAAAATATTTTAGACTAAGAAATATGGGAATTTTCCTACTTTCCAATATTAGAAAATTAAATTTAAAATATTAAATATTAATATATATTTATTAAACCAAAGCCGATTTGAAATACTAGAAAACTGACAAATTCTGATTGAGTTTGGTCGGATTTTTTATTAAAACGTTAAAATATAAAACAATTATATACTCTTATGTATTTCTATTGTTTAACTTTAGCTTAACAAAGCCCCTTCATCGCACGGGTCCCCGTCACCATGCCTCTCCTTGCTCCATTATCCCCACCTTGCATTATCTTTGACTTTCTCTCATCTCCCCTACCCACCACTCTCATTAAGCCATGTCACCCATTTACCTAAAAATATTCATATAATCTCTCTCCTAAAAATATTCATGTTGCCCTGCCCCCTAATCAATTTCTAAAATGCATCCCCCCATCTATATCCACTCTCCCTCATTTAAAATATTCATATTAATTAATAATTAGTTAAATACGGTTAATATTTAATCCCACCCATATTCGATGAGTATTAAATAATGTTATTACCAAAAGTTAATAAATTATCAAAAATTAATAAATATTATTATTAATTAACTAATTAACAACATTTTATGGAAATTGAAAACTCTTTAACTAATTTTTATAAAATTGAGAATTATATTTAACAATTATAAAAAAGTATAAAATTTTAGTTATTTTTATTATTATAATTAATAGTCAAATACAAATGGGGGAACAAAATATTATAATGTTAGAAAACGAAATTATTAATTAATTTATCTTGAAAAATAAAAGATAAATTAGTGTAATTTTGTTAGTAAAGTACCAAATAAAAAAATATTTTTAATAACAATTTAAAAAAATTCAATAAATCCCCATAGTTACACAAAAGTAATAAAATTTTCAAATAATTTCATAAAACTACATTTTCGTAAAATAACATTTTTGAAATTAAAATATATAAAGTATTTGAAATTTTATTTAAAATACATTAAATAATTATCGAAATCTATTAGAATATTTTGGAAATTTTATGAAAAAATATTACATTTGATAGATTTTGAAAAACCATTGAAATTTTGTGTAATTTTCATTGCAAATTATTGAAATTTTGTGTAATTTTCATTGCAAATTATTGAAATTTATTAAAGATAAATGACTATGGGAAATGGAAACTATAATTTGAACAAATAATTACACAAATTATTAAGATAAATTAGTATAATATTGGAAAAAGGAAATTATTGGTCAGTTTATATTAGAAATTATAAGATAAATTAGTATAATTCTGTAAGTAAACCATTTAAAAAGAAAATAAATAATTTAATAAAAAATTAAATAAATTTGAATAAATTACACAAGTACAATAAATTTTCCAAATTTTTCATGAAATTACATTTTTGAATGTTAAAAGACAATTTAGTGTACTTTTAGAAATTACCATGTGGTTGATACTCATTATATCCTTTTGGTCATTTTTATCATCAAATTGAATATTGGGTTGACGGGGACAATGTTTTCAAAACTGGATCAAACCAAATGGTTAGACTAGAAAAATTTGGAAACGAACATCGTTTCACCTCAAAATCGCTTTTTGTCCGAAAACTGTTTATTTGGTTAGCGAACCGCTGACCTAGGTGGTCGAATCGTCAACTCGGACAACAGTTTTTGGCCTTTTTTTGTTTTTTCTAATTTTTTTTTGTCAAAGTGAGGCATCTGTTCGATCCGAACAATTGGATCGTTCGACCCCAGAACAGTTCGCTATCCGGTCCAATTTTAAAAACCTTGGACAGGGAGTAGGTGCCTTGCCCTCAGCTTGGCTTGGGGTGTGGCATGGCCTAACCCAAGGCCCGACCCTCGGACTAGCCCAACCCACGGCATGACACGGGCCCATGCGGTCTCGAGCCGTGGGCCATGCCAAATCGAGCCCCAAAATTATCCTAGAGGGAGGCACGACCCGATACGCATCGTGGGCCAGCACAACACAACTCGCACTTTGTGCAGGCCACATGCGGGTCATGTCATTACCGTCCCACCACGACCCAATTTACATCTCTACTTGAACCTGCCCAATATTGGGGACGGGGCAGGGAAATTCGAAGATTCTCTATCCTTGATGAGGAGTGGGGTGCCTTGCACCTAAACTCGCTTGACATTGAGGAGTGGTTACCTTGCCCTAAACCCGTGTGACATTGAAGACGGGGCGAGAACAGGGTAGAGTGTCTTGACTATGGTATGGGGCAGGAAAAGGGATGGGATGCCCTATCCTGAATCCACCCTATTGCTATTCTTATATAATTGTTAATTATTAGTGAAATTAATAAAAATGTTAGCTTTTATAATTATTTTTATTTATTTAAACTTAATCAAAATTTCATTTGAAAATAATAAAAAGAAAAAAAAATATTAAAATTATTACATATTATTAATAAAACTAAATTTATTAAAAATATTTATTCATATTAAATTAACAATAATGAAAAATAAACTTATTAAATCTTCGTCTGTGAGCCAATCGGCATGTGCTTCGTTCCCTTCGGCAGCTTCGGGGGATAAACTTCTCTGCAACTCTCCTACACTTGTTACATAAATGAAATCCCTGCATCTCCGTCCAGTTAGACACGACGGTGATTGATCTACTCTATAATGGTGGTGGGTCACACGATAATAAATCACTCGATCATAGGACATCAGTACATCGCTAATCTTAGCGTAGATTGCCTTCTTGTATTTGTATTAGCGTTGTACGAAATAATTGTAAAAATTGAAAAAAGCGCGCAAAAAATCAAAGGTTTTTTTTTTTTTTTTTAATTTAGTTGTGCGCTACGACACTGTTGTAGCGGTTTTTATGGTTTGATCTAAAAAAAGGGGAAAAAAAGGAAAGGAAGAAAATTTGACTCAGAGGCAAGGCGAAGACTGGACGGTGATGACAGACAGGCATCACATAATGAAATTGGATCCCATTTGTCTCATCAAGGGTTGTACGGATGGAGATGCCCTGCCTAGTGCCTACCCCTACCCTAACCTTTTTGATGGGCGTAACGAAATTAAATCGGAAGGCTGCGGGATTTGCTTGGACGGTAAAGATCAGCAGAGCACAGATAGGAGTAAGCGAATGATTGTATGATGACTGATACGGCACAATTGTCGGTATGGGAGTCCTCGCACCTTTTCTTCACTTATTCTTTGTTCTGTATATCCAAATTAATCTTAAATGTGAAGAAAACAAAGAAAGAAAGAAAGAAAATGGGGACCGGCAGTGGCTATTTTTTTTGATAAACACGAAACTAATAAGGGATAACCGATACCCCTATAAGAGCCAAAAATTACAGATAGCTCTACGACTACGACCTTGGCTCCTTGAGAAAGATGAAACCACCAACTTATCATAACATTCCTTAATTACCAGTTAATTGATTCATGACACGCTGGATATTAAGGTATAAAACTCAACATGAGTTTTTAAGCATTTCTTTTAAACTTATCGCAACTTTTTAAAATATTTAAAATTCATCATATCATTAATTTAACGTTAAATAGACAAACGAGTGTTAATATATTACCATTTTAACTTTCATAAAAAATATAAATTAAATTAATGGGTGTTAATATATTACCATTTTAATATTTAGACATGAAAAAAAGGGAAAAAGCCCAAATAAATATTTTCAAATATAAAATACATAAAAATTACAAAAAAAAATAAAGAAATTGCAAACAAAATAAAACAAATATTTTCAAATTATAGAAACTATAGAAATTCAAAAACAAAATCAGAAAATAAAAATTGTAGAAAAAACATCAAAAAATTTAGAAAAGCACAAAAATTGCAAATAAATAACAAAAAAAATTATAGATTGTAGAACATAAAAAAATGTAAAAAGACAGAAATTATCAAAAACATTGGAAATTATAATAAAATACTAAAAATGCAAAAACAATACATGAAAATTGAAAGCTGAAAAGATCATTTTTCTTCTAACTCACCATTCAAGGGTAATTTGGTCATGAAAATTGTTATTTATGTTGACATGGACACCTCTGCTACAAAGCATTAACGATGCACTAATAGAAGGTGAGTTTTGGAAAATAAAAACTTATCAACATGGTGAATTTTAGACATTTTGAAAATTTGTTGTGAGTTTAAGAGAAATATTGAAAACTCATCGTGAGTTTTAGACAATTTCCCAAAATGTAAAATCGTTCAAAAATTCTTAAAATTGAAAAAGGTGAACACGCCGCCATCTTTTCAAAATTCTTCTTTCTTTTCTCGACACTCGACACTCAGCAGTCAAGTCAAATAAAAGGTGCTCCTCTCCGCCATAAAGAGGAAGGGAAACTTTTGGACGCAAGTTCTTGCATGCATGGTGTTGGAAAAAGGGGTCACTGTAACTTTGGAGGAGAAACTCTGAGGCGCGTCTAAAGACACTGTCTTTAGAACGTTATTTGCCCCTACTCAGTTTCATTGAGTTTGTTGTTGGGTTACAGGCAAATCCGTTCCCAGGATATAATAAAGCCTTGGGCGAGAATCTGCAACCAGCAAAGTTGAAGAATCTCCGGAGAAACCTTCTGTGAGACTGTAGCAGACCGGACTGAGAGAGAGAGAGAGAGAAAGTGAATTTCGAAATTGTGTGTTTTTGGAGTCTGATTCATGCTCCTTAAATAGTTAATGAAGAGGTATGGAGAAAATGTAGGTGCTGGTTTAGAGAAGGCACCTTGAACAGTCACAATTTCAAATATTATGACTGTTTAAAAAGTGGTTAACAGTTAATGACTGTTAAATTTGAATTGTGCCTGTTGATCACACCCGATCAAATCGTGACCGTTGATCTCATTAACGGTGATTAACGATCAACATTGCACCAAAACCAAAGCCGCCCTTCGCAAGCCACGCGGGTAAATAAGCTCCTATTAAAATACTGAAAACAAAACTTATAAATTTTCAATGTGGGACAAATTCAAAACCGGGTTTTGTAAGAGAAAAGTTAATTTTTCAATCAAGTGTGTAGGTGCAATTTCTCATGTAATTGACCATTCAAACCCATTGGGTTTAATCTCTCATAAGATTAAAATCCAACACATGGCAACACGATTTTCTACAACAAAAAATTCTGTACAAATAGCATCAGCATAGTCGTACATTGGGAATTTCTCCACTATCTAAAATATCACTTACACGGCTAATCAAAGATGGTGGAAAAAGCAACAAAAGGAAATTAATAATTGAATAGTCATTAGATTCACAAATTCAACAAATAAAATTCAAACTACTCTTATGTACCAAATTAAAATCTTTCTTTCTCCCTTTATATCTCTCTCTCAATCTACCTATAATGTTATATATGACTACATCAACCAAATACAATTAATATCTCCCAAAATCTTTTACATTAAATTTAAGTGCTCAATTAATTGTGAATGTATGAATTAACACTAAGTAAAATCAAACAAAACACTTTCAACAAAAAAATTTTCAAATATACAAGCATGTGCCCAACACGGGTAACTCCACTAGTATTACACTTAACTTGAAGCATGAATTATTATAGGCACATTTATACTTTATGCTGAAATTTAATTAAACTATTCCACATTATTAAAACATCCATTGGTAATTGCAATCACCTCTTCTAAATAATTAAGTTTTTGACACAATTGCAAGTAGACCCTATTTATTAAAATTCTCTAAAAAGACTCATGAAAATGCCTAAATACCCATGTAGTTATTAGTGATGCTGCATGCTGGTTTCTACAAGAAAAACAATACAAATTTTATGAAAAAAAAAGAATTTAAAGTTGCAGCTTTACCTTTGAGTTGCAACTTTGGACATTTTCATGCCTCTTTTTATTGTATTCTAACAAAAGTGGTTTACTTACAACTATATCAAAAGTGGTCTACTTACAACTATATCAAAAAATTCAGGAGAGGTAATTACAATTACCAAATTTCAAGGGAGGTTTTAGCCATTTACTCTCTAATTAATTACAATTGGGTGGCAAGGATCAAACTCTAGACCATTTTTTCAAAACACTCTCATGAACCATTCAACCTAAAAAGCTGTTTGGCGAGGTCTTCTAATATGTTTTTATTTTCTAACAAACTGAAACGGGATGTTCATGTAATTGTAAGTTTTTTTCTTCTAATTCCTGTAATGTAAGGCTCCACTACTTTTGTCCTTCCTCTTGATCTAGTATTCGAGTATCGATTCAATTAAGTTAGTCGAAATATAAGATGAAAATGTATTTGGAACGGTTACGATATTTTCAATCTGTATGTTTTTTGCAGGCCATGGTGGCTAGATTTTCATCCATCTCGACAAGGAAGCTTTCAAAAGCTTTACAGATACTTACATTCAATAAGTGCATGGTCGCCACAAGCGACTATGATGAGTTCCACAAAATGGTGAAACGATTTATACTCACGGGTGTCTTGGGAGCGAATGCTCAGGTTAGCTAATATATGTCGACATCCCAAAACACTTAAAACTTCTACTCTTTCTCACTCTCTCTCTGATGTTTTTATTTCTGCAACTTTCAGAAGCGATTTCGTTGTCATAGGGATACCATGATAGAGAATGTATGCAACTGCTTGCTTGCAGATGTCAGGAAAGATCCTCTTCAAGCTGTAAACTTCAGAAAAATATTCAGGAATGAACTCTTTGGATTAGCTTTGAAACAAGTAAGAGATTGGCTTTTGATTTTTTTTTTTTTTTTTTTTTTTTTTTTTTTTTTTAAACCGAAAAATTAAAATGGGGGGGGGGGGGGTATTACTTATAGGCTCTGGGTAAGGATGTCGAATCATCCATTTACGTGGAGGATCTTGGAACCAGACTGTCAAGAGAGGATATCTTTGAAGTGTTAGTGGTGGATCCAATGATGGGTGCAATTGAGGTGGATTGGAGAGACTTCTTCCCATATCTAAGATGGGTTCCTAATAAGAGCATAGAAATGAAAATCCAGCAAATGTATGTGCGCAGACAAGCTGTGATAAAGGCCCTCATTGAAGAACAAAGGAAACGGATTTCCATGGGAGAGGTAACTATTTCTCAATCCTTTCTTACTGTAAAATCTTCTCATTTTCTTTCCAGTTTGGAAGTTTCTGTAATTTTGATGGGTTTGGAACAGGAAATAAACTGTTACCTTGACTTCTTGTCATCCGAAGCAAAAACACTCACAGATGAACAACTACTTATGCTAATTTGGGAGACAATTATTGAGACTTCTGATACCACCCTGGTCACTACAGAGTGGGCGATGTATGAACTTGCCAAAGACCCAATGCGCCAGGTCATCATCTTCTCAGAAGAATGCTCCATTATTTCTTTAATGACTGCTTTAATGCCACATAACTCTCATTCCATCTAACCTACAGGATCGCTTGTATCATGAAATAAAAAATATTTGTGGGTCTGACAAGATTGCCGAGGAGCATTTGTCACAGTTACCTTATTTGAATGCTGTTTTCCATGAAACTTTGAGGAGGCATACTCCGGTTTCAATAGTTCCGCTGCGTTATGTGAATGAAGACACTCAACTAGGAGGGTACCATGTCCCTGCTGGAAGTGAGGTGAGTGCTGCTGATACTGATGTTGTTATATAGTTTGTTGATACCTCTCAGACTTTCATCACTCTTGGTTTTGTTGGTGAAACATTCACAGATTGCAATAAACATTTATGGGTGCAACATGGACAAGAATCAATGGGAGGAGCCCGAACTATGGAAGCCCGAGAGGTTTCTTTCGAGCAATTATGATCCTACGGACCTGTATAAGACTATGGCCTTTGGAGCTGGAAAGAGAGTCTGTGCAGGTTCTTTGCAGGCAACATTGATTTCTTGCACGGCTATAGGCAGGTTGATACAAGATTTTGAGTGGRGACTTCAACCAGGAGAGGAGGAGAATGTTGACACACTTGGATTGACCACCACCAAACTCCATCCAATTCAAGCAATCATAACACCGAGAGATCAGTAGGAGAYAGCTCCATGCTGCTCATATATGGTTTGGTTCATTGATAGGGGTTAAGTAACTTTTGATTATAAATCCTACAGCTTGAAGGTGTTATCTTTTTCAAAACAGAATAAAAAATGAAAGAGTTAGTGTCTTCTGATTTATGCTCTTGCAACTTTAATCATCTCCAACCTTTGAAGAAAAAACCGCAGATGAATGCAATAGATTTTGGATTGGCTCCAGTCATTGTTTAATTCTGTCATATGTATTTAGAACTGCTGATTTAAGGTAATAAAAAGACATAGTATGTGTTTGGTTCCGTTTTAAGTTTTTTCATTCAATGTTTCTACTTCATTTGCTTGCAAAACAGAGAAAGGTAATAATTGCAATCGTTTAGTACAATTAGGCACCACTAGGCTTCACATCAGCGTAATAGTGAAAAAATGCCTAACCATTTGTAGAAACTTTAAAAATAACTTCCTCAAATAGTAGGCGTATACAAAAACCGAAGTCCATTTTTGCCATTCTTGATGCATACGGTAGAGCAAGAGAGGGAAACTGCTGAAGTGGCGCCTATGTGGGGCTGACTTGATTCACTTGTTCAAATCAAAATCTGATATACATGGGGCCTAGCTTCTTACAAATCTGGTCAACAGAATTGGCCGGTCAGCCAATTATCCTGATGCATTGCCATCCTTACTGTATGGTATTAAGAAACACCCAAGCAAAATTGGGATTCAATCATTATATAAGGGGGTATTCTACAATATGAATGTGTTGATGAATATGTACAATTTTGTTTTTTGTGATAAAAACAACTGCCACATCAGAAAACTGATATGGTTTTTGCTGATTTGGCAGTTGCTTTTGTTTTGAAAAACAAAATCATATCATACACATTGCTGAATATCCCCTTTGTTTTCCTTTCTTTTTAAAATCATCACATCAGCAAAGAACTTATAAACACATTCTTGAATTATCCTTTTCTTTTCAGAAGTAAAACAAGTTCTTTTTTTTTTTTTATGAAAAGACAATTTATGTTTTTAAATCAACACAGCAATGGTTTCTAAAACAAAAACAAATTTGTAACATGGATATTATATGATCCATGAAAAACATGATAATAATATTACGAAAACATGGTTATCAAATCAGAAATTCAAAAACACTTTTTAATTTGGTTTTAGAAACAATAAATACATATACAATCAAGAACATGTTTTCAATGTTATTATTTTAAGAACAGATATTTATTTGTAGACCATACGATTTTGATTTATTTTTAAAACTTAAAAAAAGAAAAAAATTCGCATTCCAGAGAACCCTTTTAAAATTGTTCTCAAAAATACCAACCAATGGTGGCTCAGTCGATAAGTCCTCTGAATAATTATAGCAAGAGTTGGGGTTAAATTCCACTGTCACCACTGGGTTGGGGGTTATGGCTTATGGGTAGACGTGTTCATGGGCTTGTTTCAGGTTGAATTTTTGTCAATATTTGAGTCAACCTGGCTCGAAGCCCAAGCCCAAAGCAGTGTAAAATGTTCAGCGGCTAGCCAAAATCTTAGCCCATGAACAGGTTTGCTTACGCGTACAGGAGAGGGACCAGACTACTTTACTTGTGTAGCCCATGAAGAACAAAAAAGTTCCCTAAAATACAGTGATTCAAAATACACGAAGCTTCCTAAAAAGATATGTGAGGTAGGCAAAGACTTTGTAAACAACTACACCTAGCCTACAAGAATCAAAGGCCCGATTTTGTACCCGTTTTAGTAAAGGATGTTTCTATGTTTTTTCTAGAATATCAGGCCTGTCATTCTGAGTTTTGACCGTTCTATTTCTAATCTAGTATTAGGTGAAGCACTTTTGAATGCTACCGGTGGAGACCGGATCTGCTCCACACCTGGCGTCTCAGACGCACATCCTATTATGTATTGGCAACATCTCATGTAATTATTTGTTATTATTCATGGGAGATGTTTTCAATGCATGGCTGTGAGACTCCCATTTGTGAGGAGCAGATCCCGTCACCTACCGGTGGAGGAGCAGGTTCATTAGCCGAGGCTGGTGATGGAGCGCAATCCGGTCAATCTTACCTGTCAATGATCTTGCCTTTATTGGAGTAAAAGGTGCCTGAAATGGGGAAGAAAGCGAGTAAGGGGTTTTAAACTGAACCGATGGATGATCAGGAACACGTACCCCGAGCTCGACATCAGCGCCATAACCACTTCGCGCATTACTCAGGAGATGGCCAATGCGGCTGGCGGTGAACCGGATTCTGAGGACGAGGCAGGACCCTTGGGTATCGTTGAAGTGCCTTCCGAGGGTGAGGAAGATGTACCTACGGGCCTGTGAGCTCGCTTCTGTCGTCTTCTCCTTCTTTGCCAAACTGATTATATTGTCGGACTGTTGGAATTAGGGCCTAGGGCGGATTAACATAATAAGGCTATATGCCCGAACTGACTATATTGTTCTGTCGAGAACCATACTCGTGCGGCCACTTTCGGCGTCAACACTTGGCCCCCGATGATGAGATACCGAGGTCCATATCAGCTCGTTGTAAGCGCTTTGCCTCGTCAGCTTGGTGCTAGCATTTTGCCTTTGCTTGCCCACGCCGAGGTCCTTGGTAGCGACTTAGTCCACCTCGCTCGGTGATTTATAGGTAGTATCATCTCAAGTTAACGACGTTTCACGCTCGGGGTACTTGTTTGCCCTTAGGGTTTCGAGCTCGTATGCTCCCCCGAGCGCTCTCTTTACTCGGTAGGGCCCTTCTCAATTGGGTCCAAGTTTGGCCACGCCGGGCTCAGGTGCGATGATCTTACAGAGAACCAGGTTGTCGACGCGGAAGTTCCGCTTTTTTACTCTAGCATTGTAGTACCGAGCTACTCTTTGCTGGTAAGCTACGGTCCGGATGTACGCGAGATCTCTTACCTCGTCGAGTTGATCGAGGTTGGTACGTAGCTCATCTCTGTTTGTCTGATTGTCGTATGCTTCTAGTCGCAGTGTAAGTACTTAGATCTCCGCCGGGATTACCGCTTCAGTGCCATAGGTGAGGTTAAAGTGGGTCTCTCCCGTGGCGGTTTTTTTCGTAGTTCGGTGAGCCCATAGAACACTTGGTAGCTCGTCTGCCCACAACCCTTTAGCTCGGTCTAGTCGCACTTTCAGCCCGCGGAGCATAGCTCTGTTCATAACTTCTGCTTGTCCGTTTGCCTGCTGGTACGTGACCGATCGAACTGCTTGCCATTGTCGGAGAGCAGTACCCAAGGTAACCCAAAGCAACATATTTTGTTTTTCCAAAAGAAGTTCTACACATTTCGAGCTGTGACTGTTGCGAGAGGTTCAGCTTCTACCCACTTTGTGAAGTAATCTACCGCCACCATTAGGAACTTCCACCCACATGTTGCTGGCGGGAATGGCCCCAGGAGGTCGATAACCCATTGCGCAAAGGGCCATGGACTAGTGAGATACTTGAGGTCGGCGGCCCACTTCGTCAGCCGACCGGAAACCTCGGGCTTGAGTAAGACTTGCCTCAAAGGTTTGTCAGTCAAGACAATGACAGTGTGAGCCTGGAAATATGGGCGGAGTTTCCGAGCTGCAATTATCAGTGTGTATGCCAACTTTTCTATTTGCGGGTATCTCGTCTCTGCTCCCTGCAAAATTTTACTAACATAATAGATGGGTCGTTGGACCCGATCTACTTCTTTTATTAATACCGAACTGACCACCTCGTCGCTTGCCGAGAGGTACAGTTCTAAGACATCGCCCTCCTCGGGCCTGGTTAAGACCGGTACACTACCGAGGTATTTCTTTAGCTCGTCGAACGCGAGCTGGCAGTCTCGGGTCCATTCGAACCCTTTGCCTTTAATTGCCTTAAAGAAAGGCAGGCAGCGGTCTGGGGACTTGGACCTAAAGCGGCCCAGGGCGGCTATGCGGCCATTTAACCTTTGGACCTCCTTCAATTTCCGGGGCGGTCTCATGTCTATGATTGCCTTAATCTTGTCTGGGTTGGCCTCAATGCCGCGCCGGTTAACGATGTGCCCTAGGAACTTGCCCGAAGTGACACCGAAGATACATTTGTTCGGATTTAGTCTCATGTTGAATTGTCTAAGGATTTGAAATACATAACACAAATCGTGTATTAATTCGTGCGAGAACTGTGTCTTGACGACCATGTCGTCTACATAGCACTCTATCTTCATGCCAATTAAGGGTTGAAACAGCTTATTCACAAGCCTTTGAAAGGTTGCCCCAGTATTTTTTAATTCGAAGGGCATAACCTTGTAACAGTATAGGCCGAACTCTGTGATGAACGAGGTCTTTTCCTCGTCGGCCGAATCCATTCTGATTTGCCCCGAGGTCGCGTCTACCAAGCGGTCGATTCTGGGCAGTGGGAAGCTGTCTTTTGGGCAGGCCCGGTTCAGCTCGGTGTAGTCGACGCACATGCACCACTTGCCGTTGGCCTTCTTTACCAGAACGGGGTTGGCTACCCAGCTCGGGTAATGGACCTCTTACGAAGTCGGCTGTGAAAAGCTTCGCGACCTCCTCGTCGACTGCTTTCCATCGCTCCGGGGCTAGGTTGCGTTTCTTCTGTCTAATGGGCCTAATTTCTGGATCGGTATTAAGTTTGTGAGTTATAAGGCTGGGGTCAATACCGGGCATATCGGCCGTGGACCATGCAAAAATATCTAAATTTTGAAGAAACTTACCAGTTCGGATCGTAGAGGTTCCTGGACGGAAGCACCGATCTGTAGCGTCCGAGTTGGGTCCGCAGCTGAAGTTGGGATCGCGATCGTTTCTTCTGTGGGCGCAGCTCATTCTTCGCCTTGCTTCGTAGGCCGCTCCAATTCGAAGTCATCGGCTACCTTGGTTTTTCCCTTTAGGGCGGCAACATAGCACTTGCGGGACTCGAGCTGGTCGCCCCGCGCTACTCCCACACCGAAGTCTGTAGAAAACTTCATTGCCAAGTAGTAGGTGGAGACCACTGCCCATAGGACATGAGTGATTGGCCACCCTATTATGGCATTGTATGGGGAGGGGGTCGCGACCACCAGGAAATCGTGGTTGAGTCTGACCGCACAGGGCCATGTGCCAACTTCCACAGGTACTGCCACTTTCCCGAGGGGCTTGACTTCCTCTCCGCTGAAGCCCACCAGAGGAGTGTTTGCGGGCTTCAACTCGCTTCTCCGCAACTGAAGCTGGTCAAACGCCAACTTGAAGAGAATGTCCGCCGAGCTGCCTGAATCAACAAGCATGCGCCTGACTTCGAAGTCGTTGATCCTTAGTTTTATGACAAGCGCATAATCGTGGGGGTAGTAGACCCCT